TCAGTGATGAGTTTTGGACATGTCCAATTGATTAATTAAATTGGACAGTTTTGGACAGTTTTGGACAAGTCCAAAACTGTCCAAAACTGTCCAAAATTTAATGGGTTTTGGACACGTCCAAAACTAATTCATGACTGTCCAATTGAGTTTTGGACAAGTCCGAAACTGTCCAAAACCTAAAATTAGAAAAAAAAAAAAAAAACTTATTCCAACACCCGAAAATCATAATTTACCTTTAACTATAACACTTCTCGAAGAAAAAGCATGTTCCAACTAAAACCTCAATGCACGCTTCATTAAATTCTTTGGTCGATTGATTGACATCTTAAATAGAAAGAATTTTAAGAACTCCCATTCCATTAGCCTATTCAATTCATTTATTTAAATCAAACTGCTTGAATTTATTGTCTCACTTTATTAGTTTGCGTTTTGCTTATGCGACTATCCCTATTGTTTTCATGGCTTCAACTGTTTTGATGGAATTGAGCAGTAAGTTTAACTAACTTCTCTTGAATTTCTTTCATATTAATTTATTTGATTTATTTATTTATTTATTTATTTATTTATTTTTTTTTTAAAGGATTGGTGGCGAGATTGAAAATCCTTTCGGAAGAGATGCTAATGACTTAGATTTGAATAGTTTCTGCGAGTAAGTTTTGAACGAGTTTAACTGCGATTTTCAAAAAAATTTCACTAATTGAACTTTTAATTAGACTTATTGAAAACAATCACTTCCAATCCACGTCAATCTGTAGAAACTTGGGTATATAATGAAAAGAATTATCCTTCGGTCCTTATGGTCTGAAGTTCGGAAGCTTTCAGAAGACATTCGTTCTAGACTATCCCATCAATCTGATGTGGAAATTTCTGTTCAACGAGTTTCTCCAAATCCGGGTGCATTCTCAAAATTCGACCGAGAGTTTGAGTATAGAAAATATTTGATTTTATCTCCCTACAAGAGGCTCTAAAAAGGTTAAAAATTCAAGACCCCACTTTTGATTATCACACTGACCAAAAAACCGGACAAATGCTAATTGAGGGAATGGGCAAATTGCACCTAGAAATCTCGGTCGAAAAACTGAGGGAAAAGAACCTAAGCGACTAGAAATTTCCAGTAAACAGCCTAAAATAGTTTTCTTATGGGGAATTCATCACACCGATCGTAAATGTATGAAACCTTTAAATCAATAAAATAATCGAGAGATCCAATTATAATGTATCAAATTTATTAGTATACGAATGGCGATAAAAAGCTGTCATTTTTTACCATGCCTGAATATGAAATTGGAAGAAAATGACCCTAATGCTTAAAATCGGAAGGTCAAATATTACTAGGTAATTTCTTTATAGATAATTTTTACAACAATTGACTTGTTGTAATGTTATTTTGTTTCTAGGGGTCTTGGTACTTCTAATTCCCAGGAAGCTAAAGATTTTCTTAGAAGTCTAAGGCGTCATAAAAACCTTTTAGAGCTCTTCAAGAAGATGAACGGGAGTTGATCGATTTGACTTTTAATAACAAGAAAACAAGAAATGGTGTGTATAGTTTTTTTTTCTGTTTCCTTGATTCCAATCAGAATGTAACCTCTTTAACGACAATTCCACATTCCAAAAACTTTACATTCTTTCAGCCTGGTACCTACATGAATCATGATGAAGGAGAAATCACGATAAAGAATTTTATAATTAAAGAGTTGATCTTGTTCAGTCAAGCCGATTATGAACGTTCGATTCCAAAAGGCTCTCGACGGATTAAAACCTGACCAGAGAAAAGTTTTGTACATATGCTTTAAGAAAAGTACAAGATCGAAATTAAAGTTTTTTCGTTAGCCGGGGCTGTTTTAGAACAAGCGGCATATCACCATGGTGATGCAAGTCTTCAAGGTACAATCATTTCAATGGCTCACGATTTTGTTCAAATAACATCAACATCCTTCATGGCGAAGGTAAATTTGGTACAAGGGCTCAAGGAGAAAGAATGCAGCTAGTGCTCGTTATATTAGCGTTTCCATGCCTGCATCTTGAAAAATAGTTCATCCTTATGATGACCATTATTAACATATTGTAATGATGACGGTCAACTAGTAGAATCAAAATGGTATTTGCCAATTCTGCCAATGATCCTTGTTAATGGATCCGAGGGTATCAGAACCGGTGAGTTTATTTAAAAGCTTGCATATTAAGTATTTCAAAAGATATATAATAATAATCTAAATTTATCTTATAATTATTAGATTGGAGTTCATTTATTCTAAATTACAATCCTCGCGATATCATTAACAATTTAAATTAATTAACAATGAAAAGCCAATCCCTGGTATCGTGGGTTCTAGGTAACATTATCAATAATCAGAATCCTCTAACGGACTTTGAATTCTTCAAATTAAATTATATTTTACATAATTTATAGGGTTAAGTTGATCGTGTAAGCAATGACAGATACAATATTAATGGCAAGATCTACTGAGTCTGTCTGAATTACCAAAGAAACGCTTGCGAAAAACGTTTCAAGATGAGCACGACTATCGGAACGTCAAACATGATGTGTTTTGATGGCAAGAGTCGTATGGCATTTGGTACAAAATATCAATTTTTGAAATTTTACAAATCGTATTTTTGTCTTGGTTTTCTCACATTTATTTATTATTCTATTTAAACAGCTTTGGGATACTGGAGCAGCATTATAAGTAAAAGATGTATATCAAATAGAACAATCTGTTTTAATACTTTCTATTCTTTCGTCAATTGCACTTTGTGTGGTTTGAATTGGAAATTATAAAAATCCATGATTATTTAAAGTACTTTTTGAATTGTTTTTGTATAAATATGAAATAAGTCATACAAATAAATTAAGAATTTTCTCTTCACCATTATTTCGGAAGATTTAATTCAGAGGATTCTTTTATATTTTTCTTCATTGATTATATAGAATTGGGATTGGGATTTGGGACTTGAAAGACTTGAAGGTTTTTCTCTTATTACTTTTTTCAGTATCACGTGCCCATTTAGCGATAGTACCTGAAAGTGGTAGGATCTACAGTTCTTTGCCGAATTTTTATATAGAATAATCCAATTTTTTTTTCTTTTCGCAAATTTGTTGTAACTTAGTTGCAATATTTTTTTAGACTTTTTCCATAATTTTTAACAAAAAATTAATAACGATAACATTCATTTTTATATTTTAAATATTTGATTATGACACGAAGTGGAGGTCGTCCTAGACATAATCTTTCTGAATATGTAATAGTTTTGAAAAAAAATAACCCGGAAGATAAAGACCGGCAATGTGTGTGTAAAGCATGTAATGAGGTTTTAAAAGAAAAGGCAACCCCTATAATAAATAGGAAGGAACGAGTTAAAAAACATTTGTTAAATTGTGTGCATTTTTGGAATAAATATGGTGAAGAGGGAGAAGAAATGTTAAGAGATTGTATCAGTGATGAAGAGAAGGATGAATTACCTACAAATAAACGCATAAATTTAAATGGTTAGTTTATAGTTTTTTATATTTTTTTTTAAAAGAAAATAATTAATTTATTGATTTATTATTTACAGATGATGATGATACTGCGTCTATAACTAGTTTTTTTACAAATTCTACAAATTCTACAAGTTCTACAAGTCGATCTTCCGAATCTAATAAAAAACAAGTTGGGAAACCTAAGCAATCACTGCTACCTAAATATGCTGTGCGAAATATTACCAAAACTGAAATTCCTATATTTCATGATCTTTTAGTTAAAATGACAGTGGCTAATGGTTGGGCTTTTCAATGGGTTAATAATCCTTCTACCCAAGCTTTTTTTCATTGGTTAAATCCAAATTTAAAATTACCAGATCGAAAACAACTATCTGGTTCTATATTAGATCAAGCTGTCAAAAATGTTGATAAGGTGCAACGAGATAAACTAAATCAAGTACACGAGCAAGCTGGTATTACACTTGCATTTGATGGATGGAAGAATATTATAAATCAAGAATTACTTGGGGTTATGATAATATTGCCTTCTGGTGAAACTTTGGTATGGAAAGCAATAGATATAAGTGGACAAAGAGAGCGTGCAATTGATGTTATTCCACATGTTGAAGAAATGTTACAAGAATTAAAGCAACAATTAATAAAAGTAGCTGCAGTTGTAAGTGATAGTGCTGCGGCATATGCTTCGGCGCGGTAAGTTATTTATATAAAATAAAAGGAAAATTTTTGAAATAAAAATAATAATGTAGTAATATTACAAATTTATAGAGTATTAATTTATTTTTAAGATGTATTAAATAAAAAATAAAAATTTATTTAATTATTTAATTTTTGTTATATTTTTTATATAGACGACAACTTCGTCTTAAATATCCCGAATATATTTTTTTACCATGTTTTGCCCATCAATGCAACTTAGCTGTTGGAGAAATTTTCAAGGAGTCTAATATTTTAGCAAAAGCATCTATTAATGCTGTTAAATTATATCTCTATTTTACAAGTTCTCGAAATGCATATTTTATTGGAAAATTAAGAGATATTCAAACGGAACTTTATAGTAAATGTTTTGCAATAATCAAACCCAGAGATACAAGATGGAATTCCTATTATGAATGTTTTAAAAGCTTAATTCGTACTAAACAGGCATTAAGAGTAAGTAAAATTAATTGTTTTTTTTAAAAAAATATAAAATATAACTTTTTTAAAATAGAATCTAGTTACGCGATATGAATCTCCTGAAATTGAAGCTTCAAGAAGACTAGTTGATGAATTATATCTTCCAACTAATATTTGTCAAATAATTATGGATGAATTATTTTGGTTGCGAATTTCACAGCTTGCAACATTAATGCAACCTTATTGTGGAGCACTTGATAAAATGCAATCAGATAAAGCTCGACTATTTGATATTGCTTTATCATTTGGATATTTTATCAAATTTTGGGAACAAAATTCAAATCGATTTTTAGCTGAAGGTATAATAACGCGTCTTGAAAATCGTTGGAAAAATTGGGAACAACCATTATTATTACTTTTGTTAGTTCTTCATCCTAAATATAGACTTAAAAAATTTAACTCTGATTTAGAATCAATTAATTTTGTAATGATAGGAACTTGGATTGATTATTATTATAAAGCATGGACAAGTAATAAGCCAACAAAGTTACTTGCTGAATTTGAATCTTATCGGATAAAGAAACCGCCTTTTAATGATGATACATTTGAACAATTTGGTGAGGATATTTTAGCATATTGGTATTATTGTTCTACAATGTGTAAAGAATTAGGACTTGTTGCTACAAAAATTTTTAGTATTTGTATAAATTCAGCTTCAGTAGAAAGATTATTTTCATCAATGGGTTTTTTGCATACTTCTCGAAGAAATAGATTAAAGGTCATATTATATTTATTTTTATAAATATAAAAATATATTTATTAACTATTATTAATTTATTTAGTATGAAAAAGTTTTAGCTATGGCTCAACTTCGTGCTAATATTAATCAAACTGAAAATGAAAAGAAAAGAAAACGTGATTCTAAAAAATCACAAGTTAATACAACATTACCAATTATAGAATCAAATAATCAACAAATTGAAGATACAATTGATACAACTAATTATATAACTACAGAAGAAGATTGGGATGAAAGATTAAAAGAATGGTATGAATTATTAGATGAAGAAGAAGACACACAATCTTTGATTAATGATGATATATTATTAGATAATAATGAATCTAATAATAATTTATTAAGTTCATATATTCATCCTGCTATTGATATTAATGCAAAATGGAATTTGCGTGATCTTTTTATTAGAGAATTAGAAAAGCCAGAATTTATATCTATATCATCTGAATTTAATTAGTTATATTATATTTTTCTATTTGTATATAGTTTTAATATCATAATAATAATCAATAAATATAAATAATATCATTTTAATTCAACTTTTTTTTATTTAATAATAAAATTTTAATTATATATATAATTGTCCAAAACCTGTCCAAAACCTGT